GCTGGGGCTGGGGCTGGGGCTAGGGAGGGGGGGTTAAACACCTGTTCCTCTGCTCAAACTTATTGCTGGTTGCAACTGTGGACCACAGATCCCAGAAGCACCTGGAAGAAGGAACAGGAAGTGATGAGCAACCCTGCAGAGTCCTGCTGCTAGAAGTCTGGGACCGCAAATCCCAGACACCTTGAAGGCAGCAGGAAAAGGAAGTGAACACACAGCCAGAGAGCTGTGCTCTAGCGCCCCCTGGCCTCTGGATTGAGCCACTGCAGGCATGTGCCTGCATTTCCTGAATTAAAGGTAAATGTTTGGTCACTTCTGTTTCAATTTATTCTGTGCAGCTTAGACTAACCTGCAAAAATTTAATCAGCTCAGCAGCCTAGTTTCATAGCTGGTAGGGTCAGAAGGGACCCGAGCAGAGCATCAAGTCCAACCCCTGCCATGGCAGGAAAGAATACTGGGGTCAAATGACCCCAGCAAGGTGTTCATCTAGCCTCCTCTTAAAGACCCCCACGGTAGGAGCCAGCACCACTTCTCTTGGAAGTCGGTTCCAGATCCTAGCTGCCCTGACCGTGAAGTAGCGCCTCCTGGTGTCTAGTCTGAATCTACCCTCTGCCAGCTTGTGACCGTTATTTCTAGTCACTCCTGGTAGTGCTCAGGGGAACAGGGACTCCCCCAATACCTGCTGGTCCCCCCGGACTAGTTTGTAAACAGCCACTAGGTCCCCCTGCTCAGCCTTCTCTTGTGGAGGCTGAACAGGTTCAGGTCCTTTAGCCTCAGGCTTTTTGACTGTCTGTACTTAGCCAAGATGATTTTAATGTGTTAGAGATTTAAGAACACTGAGTTTTAGCCACATCAGTATGTACTATAGTAGTGGAAACTTTTCAGTTACTTGTTTTCATATAGAGTCCATACATTTTATTATTTGCATGCACATGTAATGCATATAATGAACCTATACAAGTCATATGGAGGCCAGTTAGAGCTCACAAAGCTTATGTTATATCTCTCTACCTACTTTGGTTGGTTTATACTGTGCAAATCTATCCTGCCTTTGATAACGATCATATACAAGGTTCCTACCAGGTAAGTTCTCAACAATCCCCTTGTGTAATTCTTATGGAGCACTCAAGGACATAAGAACATCAAAAAAGCTCCTCTGTGAAAGCTTATTGTTGAAAACCAGAAAAACTTTTACCAGACTTATAACCTGTTACTTACCAGTGTGGCAGGGACAGCAAATGCTTAGTAGTTTGGTTTGAGAGAGAACAATTACTCCAACCATGTGCTCTAAAAATACCTACCACTTGTATTGTTCCTGAAGGAGGTACCCGATAACCCCTTTTACCAAGGGACTCCAAAGTAATCACACCCTTACAAGAAAGAAAAAAAAAAAGGAGACAAGTTCAGTAGATCGATCCAAGAAATTAGACATCAGAATGCTCCAACCACATCATCACACACATTGAAAAAAATGGAACGGATACTGTAGTTAAACGAATATGAAGAGCAGAGGAGGCTACAATGTACTGAAGGTATAGTTCAAGTCAGTAGCAAGGATTTTACAGCTTAATGATCTCCCTGTTTACAGATGTATGAAACAATCCACATTTTTATCTGATTTTCTACATCATTTTTTATTAGAATGCAAACACTTATGTTTAATGGAAGTTAAGCTTGTGGCAAGATACATGCCCTGCAACCAAAATCCTAAAAGACTGGAAATAAGGAGAAAAAGACTGCCCTTTTCAGTTTTATGTCACCTGTAATTACAACAACACCATACTTCAACCCACTTAACACTCTTACTTCCATCACCAGACATCAAAACAAAAGACACCCCAACTTCAATCTGTACTCTAATGCAAAACAGTGATCCCATAAGCTTTTGTCGTATGAGCAGTTCAACATATCTGACTGCCTCACCATTCCCTGTACTGGGACATTTTTTCTTCATTAGCACTGTTGAGGTTGCCATTAAGGTTTTGCGTTGGAGTTCAAATATGATGAAACTGCAGTATGCAATAATCTGTGTGCACAGATAGAGACATGCAAAATAGAATACTGAAGCAAAAACAACTACAAGTAATGTTTTGGATGATGGAAGCTTTAGGTGAATGTTGTTCTAGTCCTGTGATATATAATTGCAGTATTGCATGATTTTTATGCCCTAAGAATGAGAATCAGAACCATGAATCCCAGCTAATCAAATAAACAATGTTATTGTAACCATCCCTGGAATTTCACAATCTACAGCATGGCCTGAGAAACTATATGAAACAATCCTACGAAAATGAAAAATAGGTGTTTGTTCCTCCCCTCATTTCTGTGAAAACATAAAAATATCCCTCAGACTTAAAACAAGCCCTCCCATACGCATACACAAAAGCTGCTTCAACTTTATAAAGCATTCATTTTATTCTCTTTTATTATTCATTTTGTTTTAAAGCTTTCCCAAATTGTGTTAGTAAAAAACTTACGTTATATTTAGAGTTTAAGAACTGAATTTTTGGGAAGGCCTATAGGTTCTTAAAATGCTATGTATTTTACAGGGATGTTTAAAGTAAATGTTTACTATGTTCACTCAAATTTCTTTTTTAAATTAGATATTTCATTCAAAGTTGTAATTATTTATCTAGAAGCTTATAACAGCTTGTGGAAGGCCACTAGGTTTCTGCACAAAATTACAACATAGCAGGAAAGATTTTAAAGTACACTAAAATCATACTGTTTGCAAAGAAATTCAGGGCTGATTGACTTTGCTGCTCACATTAGCTGGTATTTGAGTCCCACCAGGTTCAAAGAAGAGCTTCATCAACTTTTACCTCCAAGGAGTATACTAGCAACTGTCTAAAGCTTGTGGACAATATGCATATATTAGCTCACCAATGGGAGTGCTTAATTTTATTGATTATTGATACCTGTATATTTTCCATCATAAAATAAAAGCTGTGGGTTATAAAAGTTCAAAATTACAGCTGATCAACTCTGTTCTCACCCCAGGAATTATATGGCTGCATGTTGGATTCAAGTGTAGCCTGAGGGGTAAATATCACTGCTTTAGACATAAGTTTTTTATAAAGAGCTATTCAGATTCTCTAAAACATGCATTAGATTTCTGTGGAAGAAAATACCACCCCCACCCCCACCCCAAAAAAAAATTACCATATAGGGGGAGGGCGCATTATCATCTGAAACACTGTAGAATGACACTTCAACTGGAAGTGTCATGTGAGTGGGACAGAAGACTCCACTTGCTCCCACTTCTGCTGTAAAACCATCAACAATGCCTAGAGGGTCTAAACGATAGTTCAAGACAGACTCCTGAAAGACAGAAATGGAAACCCACACTGGGTTAGAAATGCAATATACAATATAGCAATATAAAAGATATAGCAAAAAGTTACTGCTAGACTTTTCTGTAACCTTTATGCATATGAAGTTGTCCATCATACCACGATCTTACCTAATATATCAGACTTAGTTTGGTTCATATCTACACATATCATGCTTGCTCTTGCATAAAGATCATTCCTTTATGAGCAAGATCATGCTTGCTCCTGCACAGAGAAACATGAACACATGAAGATGCTCTATGCCAGGGGCGGGCAATTATTTCGGGCGAAGGGCCACTTACTGAGTTTTGGCAAGCCATCGAGGGCTGCATGACAGGTAGCCAAGGGCAGATAAATATTAATTTTCTAAATTTTTTAGGGGCCCTGTGGGCCAGATAGAATGGCCTGGAGGGCCGCATCTGGCCCACGGGCTGTATTTTACCCACCCCTGCTCTATGCAGAGGTTTGGTACCATTCCAGCTCTTGCACTCATAGCACTTGAACACTGCTGACAGCACTAGGGACAGTGATTCTCAGCTAGGGTGTTGTGACACACTGAAGTCCCTTGAGACACTTTCAAGGGTACTATGGGGTGCAACACTGTGTTAGCACTGATGGGTGTGCAAACATGATTCACAAGATAAACCCAGAAATTTCAAATAGCAATTCAAACATTCTGACATGTTGTGGTCTTTGAGGTATTTTCAGCAGAAGAATTACAAAAACCATAAAAAAGTAAGAGTTGGCATTTTCCCAAGGGCGCCTTGAGCCAAACAAGGGGTGCCTTGAGTCTAAAAAGATTGAGAACCACTATTCTAGGACAGCCTCCCACTCTAGGACATTCCACAAACTATGCACATGCATATGACTGCTTCTTACACTATATAGTGGGAAGTACAGAGACATGACCAGGAATTGTGGTGTCATGGGTGCAGAGGTGGGGTATACACTGGAGTGTCTTAACTTCCCTGTACATGGGCTGCTGATGCTGTAGCACAGGCTCCCTGGGGGGTGCCTTTTTGATATTCCCTCTATATCAGTGCTCACATCTGGTGCTCCAGTCACCCACCTCTAAGTACACCACTGTATACACTTAGACAAAAATGTCAGTAGCTTTAGTGGGTGATATGCGAGAATAAGAACTTTAGTGGTTGGTCTTTTGTGAAGCAAGCTGGGCAAAAATCACAACCGAGTCAAACATGCTTCAAGTTTTTAAAGGTGTAGCTGAATGGCATTGTTTAAGAGTAAACACCCAATCCTTAATCCTGCTCCCACTGCAGCCTGTAGTAAAACCCCATGTAAATCTCTACAGGAGCAGAACATATGAGGTTGCCATAAATAAGGTAATTTAGAAATTTTATTAAAAACAAACTGCACATTTCATACACAGAACTTAGATAAGACCAGTGCACTCAGTAGCTCAGCACATACGTGAAATTTTGAACTAAAGATTTCTGAAATGAAAAGCTAATGCATTCCCAACTCCTTGTGCCTCATTCACACTGATGATATCCAATCTATGAAACCTTTTATAGCATTTTAAGTAAACAGTTAAGACATGTCAAATGATTATAATCTAGTTCTGGTTGTTTTCTTCATCATCCTAATATTACTTGCTTGGCAACTGTTAATGCTTTGGATCATGGCATATGTGTAAGAGGTTTATGAGACCATCACACCAAGCCCTTCATTCAGCACCATAGGCGCTGATTTTTATTTTTGCTGGTGGGTGCTTGCAGGCGTAAAAAAACAAAACGAAACAAAAAACCCTGGTAGTTTACTTTTAACTCAGTGCATTCCTGTGCATGCCCAGAAGAGGCAGCATGTTGCTTCTACCCATCTCTTCAATGTCTGTAAAGATTGGGCACTTCAGTGGGGCTTTATTGGCATTTTTATCTAATAGCCGATTGAATCAGCTTTAGCTAAAAGTGGCAGAAAGCCCCACTGAAGCACCCAATCTTCACAGATGCTGAAGAGCTGGGTAGAAGTCATGTGCTGCTTCTTCTGGTAACCTGCAGTTTTTCCTTTTTTAAAAAAATTATCTGCAAGCAGTTCTGTGGGTGCTGAGCACCTGCTAATTTTTTTTTGATAGGTGCTTGAGCCCCGGAGCACCCACAGAGTCAGTGCCTATGTTCAGTATGCATGTGTAGGCAACAGTATAGAGAAAAGTGCAGAATTACAACCCCCCCACCTTTAAACCACTGAGACAGAATCCAAAAGACAGACTGAGTCCAGATGTTCAGTGTCTTGATGGTTATTGCTTCTTCCAGAGAACAACAGATTAGAGCTACCGCTGATGCCTCATGCCTTAGTAAAGGCACATTTGTTAGGGTGATGTCCCTTAGCCTTTTCCCAACTAAGTACTACACACAAGGCAGTGGGGGCTAGGTTTTTGAGGAACACTATACTCACCTTACTCTGGAGATGGCAACATTGCAGTATTTTATATATGAGCTACCCCACCATGACTAGCTCCACCGTGTTGCCACCTAGCCCTCCAGTTGGATGCAGTGTATGGTCTTACCCAGGACCAATCTTAATATAAATACCATTAAAAATTGTCTTACCCAACTTAAGTCAATGGACAGCCTCACAAATGGACCTAAATGGGATCTAAACTGAGCCCTGAAGCTGGTATAATAGAAAACCAATTTCTAATTACTTGCTTGGGCCTCAGCCCTTTCTGATGCTCTCCTTGAGGTAACAAGTTTTTTAGGAAGCAGGAATGCAGCTTTTGTAATTGAAGAGTGGAGCACAGACTTTTTGGCTCAGTATAAACATGAACACGATATACAACAAAACCGCAGCTAATAAGTACACACGAATATAATTAGTTGTTAATAAAGAAGTACATCAGAATTATAAATAGTTTAGGATTTTTGGACAGCATACTGTACCTCAAAGTTTCCTAGAAGACTAAGACTTGTTATGGGTGGAGCACTGGAACTCAGAAATGATTTTCCATAGACATCTGGATCAGTCTCTCTGTTTATACATTGTTGCTGGCTATTTACAGAAAGCATAAGTATAAAAGCATTCAAACAATTTGTTCCCCTTTTCTGCTACGGATATAAATACATGCAAAGAAACCTTATTTGACATGTTGCAAAGTATTATCCTAAAAAAAAATAATCATGGTTGAAGCATTATATTGATTGTGTTTTTTAAGTAAACTGCAGTGCACACTGCTTTCATAATATGTACAATAAGAGACTGATGAGAAGACTATACAAATGTATATTGTCCATTAGCTCCATGAGTAGGAACTCTTGTATGCAGATGTTTACTGCTGTAGGTCTTGAAATTTCCATTATCAAGCTCCCACAGTAGCAGGTTTTTACATTATCCACAATAGTGAAACAGAGATCTTAAGTGGGCCCTTCATTTCTAGAGGATTTAACCTTGTACCCATTGACTTCAGTACAAAATTTCACTACAGAAATAGTGATCTCATCTCTCTTACCTTTTTAGAGATTTGGAAAATGTACATTCCAAAGAAAGAAAGAATACTTAGGAAATAAAAGGGATCAGGCAACCAACATCCTTTCTTTAGCTGATGATTCAACAACAGGGTCATCAGCTAGAAGGGGATAAGACCCACTAGTGTTTTGATAGTTTTGTACATCTTCATGAATGCAAAGCAGCCATAAGCCCATTTTAGCATAAACAGTCCAAAAAGGCTAAGAAGGAATGTGACTCCGGCCTCATGAAAAAGAAGAATGACAAGATGACTGGCTCTTATGATGAGATGATTGGACCTGTGGATGCAGGAAGAGCAGTGGACGTGATATATCTTGATTTTAGCAAAGTTTTTGATATGGTCTCCCACAAAATCCTTGCAAGCAAGCTAAGGAAGTACAGGCTGGGTGAATGGTCTGTACAGTGGACCTATTTAGTTTGGAGAAGAGAAAACTGAGAGGGGATTTAATAGCAGCCTTCAACTACCTGAAGGATGGTTCCAAAGAGGATGAAGCTATACTGTTCTCAGGGGTGGCAGATGACAGAACGAGGCAATGGTCTCAAATTGCAGCAAGGGAAATTTAGGGTAGCTATTAGGAAATCCTGCAGTGAAA